GGAGGTTTTTAAGGATTTGTTGAAATTTAACTAAAGAAGTAATTTATTTTACTAATTCTGTAGTTTCTTGATCTAATAATAAATCATTAGTTTAAAAGGGTCTTCCATATAATAATTCAAATGGGCTACAACCGAGTTTCTGAGGTAAATTTCTTCTTCTAAGAACAATGGAAAGTAATTTAGTCTAAGGGAGATAAGTCTCTTGAGTTAGCTTTCCTAACTGTCCTTTGATTTTATCTTTCATTTTTTCTACCTTCCCAGAGGACTGGGGCCTCCAAGAGCAGTGTAGATGATATTCTATGCCCAGGGCTTTAGATGTTCTTTGTGTCACAGCTGCCTTGAACACTGGCCCATTATCACTTTGCAAACTCTGAGGGAATCCATACCTGGGGATAATCTCATGCACTAAAGCCTTTACAACTTCCTTGGCCTTTTCTGTTCTACAAGGGAATGTGTCAACCCAATTAGTAAAAGCATCCACAAATACCAGCAAATATTGTATACCATGTACTTTAGGGAGGTGAGTGAAATCTATTTGCCAATCTTCACCTGGCTATTTACCTTGTCTCTGTATATCTGGGAGAGCTAGATGGTGATTTAAGAGACTGTTTCTTTGACATATCTCACAAGTCCTTGTTATCTGTTTTATGGTTTTAAATAAGTTTTTTCCATTAAAGAGAGCTTTAGCCATTTGATAAGTACTTTCAGTTCCAAAATGAAAAGACTGATGTAAAGTTTTAAGTATTTTCCATTGGCTTGCTGCAGGTAATAGCAAAAGTCGACTTCTATTTTGTAGCCAGTCTGATGAAAGTAGTGAGTAGTCTCTGGATAAAGCCCATTCCTTTTCTTTTCAGGTATATTGAGGCGCATGATTCTCAAGTGATCTCTCCCAAATGAGGGGTGCTGCAAGGGGAATTTTTCCCTTCTGTGCTGCTATTTTAGCCTCTTTATCAGCAAGTTGGTTACCTTCAGAAATCTCATCTAAGGTCTTTTGGTGTCCCATACAGTGAATAACTGCTACTTCTTGTGGAGCATGAAAGGCTCCTAACAACTGTCTATTTCATGATGATATTTTATGGGAGAGCCATTGGAAGTTAGATAGTGTCTTTCTTTCCAAATAGCAGCATGGGCATGTAAAATGAGGAAGGCATATCTTGAGTCAGTGTATATATTGACTTGTTTGTTTCTCCCAGTTTCTAAAGCACGGGTTAAGGCTATTAACTCAGCTAATTGCACACTGGTTCCTGAAGGGAGAGACCGACTCTCAATTACAGCGTACTGAGTAACTATAGCATAGCCTGCTTTTCGAGTTCCTTGTTCTATGAAATTGCTTTCCGAGCTCCTTGTTCCATCTGTATATAAAACCATGTCAGGATTAGATAGGGGGGTTTCTGGTAAGTCTTCTCTAGCTGCATAGGTCTGTGCTATAATTTGTTGGTAATCATGCCCTGGTTCCTCATTGGATTCAGGGAGGAAAGTGGCAGGATTCAGAGCAGCACAGGTGCTTAATTGTAACACTTGTCCTTCTAGTAATAAGGCTTGATATTTAAGAAGGCAGTTATCTAACAGCCAAAGATTGCTTTTTGAATTTAAAAGGCCAGTAAGGTCATGAGAAGTGTAAATAATTAGATCTCTTCATAAAGTTAGCTTGGTTGCTTCTGGGGTTAAGAGGGCTACAGCTACTACAACCTGTAGACAGTGTGGCCATCCCTTGGCCATGGTGTCAATTTCTTTACTAAGATATTCAGGTTGTAAAACTGAACCCTGGTTTTGGGCCAAAACTCCCAGGGCAATTTCGGTTCCTTCTGTAATATACAGATTAAACTATTGTCCAGTGGGAAAACTTAAAGCAGGGGCCTGCAAAAGAGCAGTTTTCAACTGTGGGAATGCCTTATTTGCTTTCAGTTCCCATTCTAGAGTGACTAAGCCCTCTTTTTGAGCATTTTTAATTAAAGAATAGAGTGTTCTAGCTCTTTCACTATATCCAGGAATCCAGAGTCTACAAAAGCCTGTGATTCCTAAGAAGCCTCAAAGTTGTCTGAGAGGGTAAGCCAATATTGGTTCTATTCTTTCTTTGCCCAAGGTTCTCTTCCCCTGTGAAAGCTGGAGACCTTCTGTAGTAAACTTCTGGGACACATAATTGGGCTTTACCTTTGGGCTTTCCCGCAGTCAGCTAGGAAGTTTAATAGAATTCATGTAGCTTTGTGGCATTCCTCTTTATCTGGTAATATCATGTACATACTGAGTAAGAGTCATTGTAGGATATGAAAACGACTCAAGTCTTTGGCTAAGCCTTGTCCAAACAAATGAGGGCTGTCCTTAAATCCCTGGGATAACACAGTCCATGTGAACTGGGGGTTGGGGAGCAGGACTTTCAGGCATGATTAGGAAGGCATGAGAGAACAGCCAGTCATCCCAATTGCAGCTTAAAGGCTGAGAGAAAAATTTGGTAACTGGCTTTCCAGATACCCCTTGTATGGTTACAGATTTGGGGGATAAAAGACCAGGGTTAGAGAGAAGTACAGAAAAGGTTGCTCCAGTGTCCAGAAGAAATTCTATCTCCTGGCCCTCCACTACTGTGTTTCCCTGAAAATAAGACCTAGCCAAAAAATAAGCCCTAGCAGGATTTCTATGCATTTGTCCAGTAGATATAAGCCCTACCCCGATAATAAGATGGGAGTGGCTATGCAGCATATCTACATAGCCACACCATGCATTTCTGCACGCAGAGGAAGACATCCCCTGAAAATAAACCCTAGTGTGTCTTCTTGAGAAAAAATAAATAAGATGGTATCTTATTTTCAGGGAAACATGGTATAAGGCAAACCTGGGGCTCCTGAGGTGTGACAACACAAGCTAGAGCCATGAGCATCTGCCCTGGGCAGCCTCAGTCTAGTTTGGGCACTTATGGGATTGCTGTCCCCAGAGGCCTTCATCTCTGAGGACAGGCCACCCTCCAGTGGTC